ATAATAATAATAATAATAATAATAATAATAATAATAATAATAATAATGGCTGACTAACGGAGTTATGGCTGACAAACAGAACACTGAAGAAAGAAACAGAAGGCCTGATTCTTGCAGCCCAAGAACAAGCCATCAGAACGAATGCAATTAAAGCCAGAATAGAAAAATCTGAAGAAGCGGATGAAACCATTGATCACATACTGAGCTGTTGCAAGACAATCGCTCAGACTGGCTACAAACAACATCACAACACAGTCACTCAGATGGTCCACTGGAACCTGTGACACAACTACCATCTGCCTGTAGCAAAGAACTGGTGGGATCATAAGCCTGAAAAAGTGGTCGAAAATGAGCATGCAAAATTACTGTGGGACTTCCAAATACAGACTGACAAAGTTTTGGAACACAATACCCCGGATATCATGATTGTGGAGAATAAAAAAGTGTGGATCGTCAACATTGCCATACCTGGTGATAGCAGAATCAACAAGAAACAACTTGAAAAAATCACCAGATATCAGGACTTGAAAACTGAACTCATTTACATCAATTAAAGTAATTATAATTTGTATTTGAAGTCAGTCCTGCTGAACATAGTGGAAATCTTTTTTGAAATAAACATATATAATTGAGTCAAAGTTCACAAACCAATGTTACAAACTTTAACTGAATGTATTTTGAAAATTATTGTGAAAAATTGCTTTAGACTTTGACAAACACAACCATTCTCTGTGGTGTATTAAAACAGCTGTCTTCCCTGCCTTCCAAGCTCGAAAGAGCCTTAAAATCTGAATTAATTAATCAAATAGTTAAAGTTGTGTATGCTTAATAATACTTTATTTATAATATTTACATCTTGCTTTCAATTCAGGTACTTGAGGCATCGTAGTATACTTGGTCCTCCTATGTTTTCCACAGCAACAATCCTGTGAAGCAGATTAAGGGAGAGAAACTTGCCCAAAGTAACCCAATGTGCTTCTATGGTGAAGGCTGAAAACTAGAATCCAGGTTTCCTGCTCTTCTATGGAGCAACACTTTCCAAATAATTGTTAAGATTTTAAAGAGATGAAACATTTGCCCTGTACATAGAACATTTCCCATGGTTGGTATATAAACATCCAGCAGAAGCTTCATTTCAAGTAAGTGTACATACAGTAGATGCCATGATCAAAATAGGGTCTTTGATAAACAAATTAATTTCTAGACTTCGTATCTACAGTTATAGCATCTTACCAGCTCTTCATACTCTGGTTAGAGATCACTGTCAACTATCCATGTTTTTCCATATAATGTAACATTAGTTCATGAACTTCAATGCAACCACGTACATGTCTACCATATACATAATTATTTTGAAAAAGGGGAAAGAGATTTACAACAGTTCAATTAGTGACCATTCGAAGTTACAGCAGCATTGAAAAAAGTGACTCGACCATTTTCACAGTTATGACTATTATAGCATCCCCATGGTCATGTGATCAAAATTCGGAGGTTTGGCAATTGACACATATTTATGACAGTTGCAGTATCTTGGGGTCATGTGATCACCTTTTGTAAACTTCTGACAAACAAAGTCAATGGGAACACCAGATTCACTTAACCATGTAACTAATTTAACTATAATGATTCACTTAACAACTATGACAAGCTCATAAAATAGGGCGAAACTTGCTTAACAAATGTCTCAGCAACAGAAATTTTGGGCTCAGTTGTGGTTGTAAGTCGAGGACTACCTGTACTCCTCTGAGATCTCTGAAACAGTAAACTTTACATTTATTGCATGTTTGGTAAGGTTAATTGCTTTACAGAGTTCTCAATGTACTTTGGAAAATTAGTATTTTTAGATTCCTATGAATAAGTATTCTTTAAAGGTTAAATCATATGTATTTAGTATTGACTTCATAAAATATTTTTGGCAACTTGATACTTTGATATCTTATTTTTAAATGCAAGAAGGATAAATAACATTATTTGGCAGAACTGTAAATTAAGAGAACTGAATATTAATAAAGCAATATGTTGCCTTATTAATAAAGGGTATGTATGTAGGAGTGTTGAGTATGGTATGTTCCTTGTGATGTTAAAATGAGACTAAATCTGCCAAGTATTAGTTTTCACTTTTACCGGACATCCCAGAGGAAATTAAATACAATATGCTGTTAAACTCATTATGTAGCAAGTGTAAAATCAAAGAGAGAGTATTTACTGAAATGACATAGGCTTTTCCTTTTATTGCCCCATTTCTATTTAACATCTATAAGTTAGTTAATATGGTGTTATAATATCAGTAATGTTTGAAGATGTGAATGTATTTTTAGTTACATATAACAAATGTTTATTCATAAGAGAATGATGATGAACGGGGATGAGAATGGCGAGGGTTTGGGCAAAAAACTGTTCCTTAATGTTGGAAAGACAGTTTATTCCCATTTTTAAACTTTTTGATTATTGACATGGGTTCCCTTCCAACTTATTGACTATTCCTGCAATGGAACAACTAATCAACATTGTTCTATGTGTCAAGGTCTAATGATGTGATTCAAAACTAGATTATTGCTTATACTGGTAGTCTTTAACTTATTATCATAATTTTAAGTCAAAATGGTCATAAAATGGGTTGATTACAAGGACTATTAGATTTTATGATTTTTTGGGAGGGTGCAGTTAAGCAATGCTGCAATCATTAAGCAAACCAATGGTGGGTTGCCAAAAAGTGGACATAAATACTGCTTTTCAGCAAAATCATTGTAAAATGCAGCCACATGACTGTGGGATGTTACATAAATGCGGCCCAGGTGGAGAGCACCTGAAATTCAGTCATGTGATTGCAAGGGAAAGGATTGACTATTAGAATTTTGAATCCGGATTTTAAATAGCTCCCATGTAGGCTGTTGTAACTTTGGTCACTAAGTGACCAGTCATAGGTTGAGGACTATCTATGTAACACAATGTGCACATATTTTCTTTACATTGTATTTTTTCTTTTTTTTATACTAAAACAAATAAATGCATAATCCTATGAACTATTAAGATTACTCCATTATTTTTTAAAAGGAAAGGTACATGCAATTACTGAATAGCAAATCTTGAACGCCTTAGTTATTTGCCTCTCCAGAAGTGGCTAGCAGGTTGTTACCGAGGAATATTGGCCAAACCGATCCCCTACACAGTTTGTGGGAATTGGAGTACAGCTTCTTCCGGAAGACTAGATTCCTCCAGGCTATTATTGAATATGATGACACCAAGAAGATGCAAACATTGGTCTCATTCGTTTTTACCATAGCGGCACTTTGACACCACATATCTCACACCTGAGTGTCTTAAGATGGTGCACAGAAATGGCCTGTAAAAAATCTCAATCGAATTGGTGTATACCAAAATTGAGTGAGTTTTTCCAAAGCGATCAAGGGAAGAGAAAATTCTCAAACAATTTGCAAGAAGTTTTAAGAGATCATCATCATCATTTTAGTGATGATGGTAGAACTGTGACCAAAAAGGTTCCACAGGAGAAATTCCTTACGGGAGGAGTTTTTCTTCAGGATTTCAGTAAAGCCAGAGAGATTGCAGATCTTTGGAGAAATAACTTTGCAATTAAAAGCCAGGATCTTCATGCAAAGAATCCCTCTCAATAAAAAAACACCTCACTTATTCCACGAACTGAAATCTGAAATGCCCTCCTCCTTTGACAGCAAAAAATTGAAAGCAATTTTTTCTTAACCGAGAACTTGTCAGGGGAAATTTCTTCGCCAGTCATTAAGTGAGGAAGCCACCGGTCTCCGACCAACCCCCCGCCCCATCACATAGTCCTGGCACAGGATGATTTTCTAGCTCTTTCTAGAGCGATGCACCAACGAGATCGTTTCTCTCCAACCAAAGGCCGAGACGTGCAGCGCTAGATTCGGGCTTCTCCGGCGACATCCCTCCTCCGTCTAAGGAAATGCTGGAAGATGCTCGCTCCCATGTCCTTTCCGGCTCCAGAGACAGAGGGAGCTGGAAGGGAGCCGTCCAGTTTTTTCCAAAGGGGGCGACGGGGCCGAGGCGGTTTGAGCTCTTCTCTTTTCCTAGCCAAGGAACTGAAACTTCTCTCTCTCGGCTTCGTGCTCCCCTTTCCGCCCCCTCCCCGGTGCTGGTGTCGCTGTTGCTGAAGGGAAGTGAAAATGAAATCGGCTTTTCTGAGAAATGATGAGAGCGGCCGAGGCCGCCAATGAGCAGCTGCGCCCAACTTCCGCACCTCTTTCATTCCAGCCCCCACCTCCCTTCTGCACAAACAGGCCTCGGAGAGGTGGAAGGAGAGAGGGGGGGAAGGAAGGGAGGAGGAGGAGGAGGAATTTCCAAGATTGGGCTCCTCGCCGCTCCTCGCCTTGTTTTGCTTTCGATCTGGCGTCAGGACTAATCCCCGCCAAAAATACAGAGGAGGAATAACTTTTAGTTTTGCTCCCGCGATTTATTCCGCCGCCGGTTTTCCTTTCCATTTTGCGTCTCTTGGCAACCGTGACAACCTTGAGGAATTACATAAATACCGGGAAACACACAATTGGTAAGGTAAATCCAGAGCAATCTTTCTGATTTTTTGTTTGTTTTACAAGCAGAAACCAAGACCCAATGACCGTACACATTTCTTTCATCTGATTTTCGCCTTTTAGGCATATGCTTGGACGCGTTGTAACCCCAAATGCAAAGGCCGTGGCGCGGGGTCATATGATTTTTAGGCGCAGCTACTGGCAAGAGAAAGCAGGGCTTTTAATTTCACTTTTGGATTTGCAGGGAAGAGAGTCACGGGGAGGACGCGTTTCTCTTTCAGGCTCCGCAGTCGAGGACGGACGTGGGGTGGGGGCGGCAGGCGCGGCAGCGAAACATGTCAGCGGCTGGAACCCCTCTGGTTCTCCTCCCTCTCAGCCTGGGCAGGGCGCGGAGAAGCGGGCTTTCGGAGTGGGGCAAAAAAAACAAAAAACCTCGGAATGTCACCGCCGAGACGGTTCTCGACGGGCGGGGAAGGCCTCCCCCCTCGCAACTTTCCTTCCACTCCGGCGGAGACGAGCTCAGGGAGTTGCGGAAACGGGCGCTTGCTTTGCTATCCGCTGGCCAGGCGGCCAGTCTCCCTGGTAATCGGGAAACCGAGGTGAGCCGGCAGCCGTCGCGCCATTGCTTTCTGTTCTCGGGCAGGGAAAGGCGTGCAGGTCGGGGGTGGGGGGAGACGTTGGCCTTCTCGATCCCCACCCTTGCAGGACTTTGGAAGCGGCTCATGGCGGGATCGGGCCCTGTCGGCAGAGGCTGCCAAGAGCGCCCCGGGCGGGGAAGAGTTCTTGCCTGATCTCCCTTGATGTTTTGTGCTGCAAGGGAAAGGAGGACACGGAAGGAGGGAGGGGGCATAAGTGGGCATCGCAGGGAAGGGGGCATTTTGCTGTCTCTCCCACCCCCACCCCCCCTCCACCCCAGCCTTCGCTGCGGGCAACCTAGAGGAAGACGGCTGCAGCTCCGATCGGGGCAGCCCTGCCGAGGGGAAGGGGGAAGAAGACGGTCATTTTCTCCACACAAGTCACTGGTGCTTTGGAGGGGGGGCGAACTAGGAGGGGCCGCTGTGTCAGCATAATCTCTCTCTTGCTCCCCCCCCCCCCCCCAAAAATATATATATATATATATCCCGCGAAGGCGGCTGTTATACAAGCTAGCTGGGTCACTTCCTTTCCTCAGCGGCCGGGTCAAGGCGTGACGTGGATGCTCGTCTGGGCCAATCGGGGAACGGATCGTTGGCGAGAGAACCGCCCCGCTTGATCCTTTTACCGCTGGCGCGCTACGTCGGGTTCCAGGAAGCAGGAATGCGAAAGGCCCCAAGGGGAGCCCCGACCGCCTCCCAGGCGCTGACCGGATGCTTTTCGAGGGGGAAGTGTGGAAGTCTTCCCGACCCCCGAAGTCTCTTAAATTTCAGGCTCCTTACGCTTTGAAAAAATACGGCTGGGAATGGTAGAGGTTGCCCTACCCAGGGAGGCTTGAGATTAAAAGCCCAGCGCATCTGCTTACTAGAACACAGATCAGGTGCACGGACTGCGTTGTTGTGCTTCAGCTCTTTCCCAATACAGGTCCTTTAGAAATGGCTCTAAAAGGATTCTGATGGTGGCTGTGCTAGATCGAACCCTTTAATGCTGATTGAATTGATGTGGGGTATCTTTCCCCATGCTTTAAGACAGAGGTCTCCAAACTTGGCCACTTTAAGACTTGTGGACTTCAACTCCCAGAATTCCTCAGCCAGCAAAGCTGGCTGAGGAATTCTGGGAGTTGAAGTCCACAAGTCTTA